CATTGTGAGACACTTCCTTTCCCATGGCGCTGGCACAGGAAACGTGGGAAGACAAACCCAGGAAGCAGACCAGCATTGCTCCTGGGCCTGCAGAGGAGCACCCCAAGGTCACTGGCCCGTGGTGGCTGCTGTGTCTCCCAAGGGCTGCAGAACCCAGTTGTCCGCGTCTTATGGGTTCTCTGCTGACCTTGATTGATGAGTAGAGTTGCTGACTCATTCTAATTTCACTGTGATTCTTTTGGTAATAGAAATTCCAATTTATATGCCTCTTTAGAGACTGACTTTTGAATGTGTCTGCTCAGTGAGGAAGGCAGTTCCGTCAGTTACTTTAGGACATTCTCATTCCAGTGGTCTCTGCTAGTCTAGGGTCCCTGGGTAACACCAGCTGTTGGCTTTCAGCTATGAACCTAAAGGTTGGTAGTTTGAAACTCACCCCCTGGTGCTACAGAAGAAAGGCCTGGCAGTCTGCTTCTGTAGAAGTTAAAGCCAAGAAAACCCTGTGGAACAGTTCTACTCTATAACACATGGGGTCTCCATGAGTCAGAATCGACTTGGCAGCAATGGATTTTTTTGTTTGTTTGTTTTGGTAGTCTAGGTAAAGGCTAGACTTTTGGTTTAAGGGACAGACATGGTGGGGAGAGTGATTAACGAGAATTGTTGTTGAGCACTTTGGGACCTCTGTTCTTAGAATTTACTCTACTTGTTTTCATGACCACCCCTTTGTCAGTTTGTCGTACTCTGGTGGCTTGCATGTTGCTATGATGCTGGAAGCTATGCCACCAGTATTTCATATACAGCAGGGTCAACAATGGTAGACAGGTTACAGTGGAGCTTCTAGGCTAAGACAGACTTGCAAGAAGGGCCTGGTGATCTACTTCCAAAAATTAGCTATTGAAAACAGTATGGATCACAACAGAACGTTGTCTGATATAGTGCTAGAAGATGAGCCCCCTAGGTTGGAAGGCACTCAGAATACACAGTGGCCACAACAGTGGGCTCAGACCTACCAACCAACACGAAGATGATGATACAGGACTGGGCAACATTTCATTCTGTTCTACATAAGGCTGCCATGAGTCGGAGACTTCTGGCCAGTCACTAACAACAGCATCTTCATTACATGAATACATATTATAAGAAGTAAAACTGAGAGTTCTAGAAAAGATTTGTTTTCTTCATGGAAAAGTCTAAGACTTGTTTGTTGCTAAATGTCAGAAGAGGGAGACAGTCTAACTGTACCTATTTTACGTTCTAGAAACACTTAGAAAATCTGAAGTACTGCTGGGGTTATGAGAAATCCTGCAAACCAGGGTTCAGATTTGGTTACCCTGTTTGTAGCTATGTCGACATGGGATGGTAAGTTTCCATAAAGAATACCTTCTCCTCCTTCATGTCTTCTTTCTCTCTGCTGTATGTTAATGCTCTAATTCCCAGCTGGGTTCTTTTGGTTTTAGATAGTAATTCCTTTAGATATTAATTTGCAGACGCAGTCATGAGTTCAACTGAACTATCTCCCACTGGGGTGGGAATAGCCGTCATTCCCTCTGCCAGGGGGTGAAACTGGATCAGAGAAAATATTTGTCCCCCAAATGTACACACAGTCCCTGGGTGGCACCAATGATTAAGTGCTCGACTACCATCTGAAAGGTTGGTGATTTGAACCCACCAAGAGGCAGCTTAGAAGATGGGCCTGGTGATCTGCTTCTGAAAGGTCACAGCCTTGGAAACCCTATGGAGCAGTTCTACTCTGCACATGTGGGGTCATTATGAGTCAGAATCGGCTTGATAGCAGCTAACAACAATAACAAAGAACACTCTAAAGAAGATAAATTGATAGTTTCCTCTTGATTCTGCCCGGGAGAGTTAAGTATAATTAGTACTTGCAATACATGCAAGGTTAATGGGGCAAAGAAAGCACAATTAACAGTATGTTTTCTTCAGTTCCGGATGACCCCAACTTTATGTATTTCTGTTGTGTGTTTTTATTTTAAGGGACTAAGTCTGGGCATAACTTATTTTGATGGCTTCACGTAGCTAGGGATAGTTTTGGGAAGATTATGATAGTATCCTTTAAAAAAATCAAAGTAACGACAGACTTGTAGCAACTTAACAAACCTTTGGAAAGAAAATTCAAGGTCCAGGAAAAGTAAAAAAAAAAAAAAAAAAGTGGAATCTTTTCGTTTGCTATTAGGACGGACACTCTTGAATCAGCTCAGGACATATTCTGGAAACAAGCTGACTTTGGATACGCCAGAGAGCGGCTGGAGGAGATACATGTGCTCTGCCAGCCTGAGCAAATGGTGGGTGTTTTAGCTCCTTAGAAATGAGCTTCTTTCTTATTATAACATACAAGGCAAGTAGGTGGCACTTGGAAAGAAATCTCTTGCTCTCACTTATTTATTGGCTTAGAATTTTATTTAATGTCCAAAAGTAAGTTCTGTTTTGTTTGGAAACTGTGACCTTGTTTTCACACATGTATCAGATAGTGGGTGCTGCATACGGTTAAGCCCTCAGCTGCTAACCAAAGGGTTGGAGGTTCTAATCCACCCAGAGGGGCCTCAGAAGAAAGTCCTGGCGATCTACTTCCAAAAGATCACAGCCATTGAAAATCCTATAGAGCACAGTTCTACTCTGACACACATGGAGTTGCCATGAGTTACAATCAACTCAGTGGGAAGTGTTTTTTTTTTTTTAAAACATATTTTTAGGTTTAAATTTCCCTGCCCTCCCCAGTGTATGCTGAAGAAGATAAATGGATAAATTGTGTCTTTACAAATTTCCTGTCAGGGTGACACAGATGGTACACCCCATCATACCACTCTGTGTTTGTATACCACTTCATAGTTTACAGAAAGCTTTTCTGTACATTAAGCTAGTTTGAGTCTCACAAGCGTTATATTCCATAGGCAGGACAGATACTACTAAGCCACTTTACCAGAGAGGAGAACAGGGTCCTCAGAGAAGGTAAGCAACTTCTCCAAGACCACACAGCTGCTATGTAGAATTATACATTGAAATGCAGATCTTTTCCTGTGCACTTTCTACCGACCTACATTGCATCAGTTAGCAGTCAAGCGCTTAACCATTGCGCCACCAGGGCTCCTTTATGATGGTATATAAAAAAAAATCTTTTGTCATCGAGTTGATTCCAATTCATAGTGACTCTGTAGGGCAGAGTTGGACTGCCCCATAGGGTTTCCAGGGAGCAGCTGGTGGATTCGAACTGCTGACCTTTTGGTTAGTAGCCGAGCCCTTAACCACTACGTCACCAGGGTAGTCATATGAGAATACACATAGATAGATCAACTGACAGACAGATAGTTGTTTTAAGGAATTGACACGTACCATTGTGGGAGATAACAAGTCTGAAATTTGTAAGGCAAGCTGGCAGGCTAGAAACTCGGGAAGGAATTGGTATTGTGGTCTTTTTTTTTTTAGTGTGCTTTAGATGAGGGTTTACAAAGCAAATTAGTTTCTCTCTAAACAATTAATACACATATTGTTTTGTGACATCGGTTGTCAACCCCACAGCATGTCAGCACTCTCCCCTTCTTGAGGTTGGGTTCCTAATGTTGCACTGTTGAGTCTGAAGTCTGTAGGGCAGGCAGCAGGCTGGAAACTCAGGGAGGATTTGTATGTTACAGTGTTGAATTCCTTCCTCTCTCCAAGACCTCAGTTTTTTCTCTTTCAGGCCTTCAGCTGATTGAATGAGGCCCACCCACATTATCGAGGGTGATGTCCTTTACTTAGAGTCAATGGACGACAAATGTTAATCACCTCAACAAAATACCTTCACAACAACATCTAGACTAGTGTGTGACCAAACACCTGGGCGGCACAGCATAGCATAGCGGAGTTGACACATGACATGAACCATCATATGCTCCTTGCACACCTCTGCTAATGTGGTTTGTAGAGTGCTTTCCTGACCAAGATTTATCTTCATAAGTTTTCTGGTATCAGAGTATAATCCCTTATCATCTACAGATAACAAAACACTATTTGGGTCAAGATTAAGGCTCATATTCAATAGGAAGTTATGGGTAAAGCAATAAAATGGCATTTGAATCTATAAATAAAATCTAGAACAGATAAAAGTTTTTTGAAGGTATTCCTCTTTGAACACAAACCAGATTGGTTGGAATAGAAACAGGCTGTAGTAGTTGACTCTTAAACTCCTTTGTTTAATTATTTAGGTAATATTGTCATCCTGTTGCTGTGGGGCCAGAATGTCCCACAAGTTTTATGGTTCTCAGAGAATACCTTTGATGAAAATTGGCAAACCACCCTTCCTGCCGTGAATTATATGTCTCTTACACATGTATTCTCCCTTGTTTTGTTTCACTTGTCTTTGGAAAATGGTTTGTCACGTAGCTGTCGGGGGTAATGGTGTAAGTATGTGGTTTTGTTTTTTAAAGGCGACTGGACTGAACCATACACACAGCTCTTAGCTTTAAAATTTGAGGTAGTACAAGCAGTTGTTGTCAGGTGTTGTCAAATTGATTCCAACTCACAGTGACCCCCATGTGACAGAGTAGAATTGCCCCAGAGAGTTTTCTAGGCTGTAGTCTTTACAGGAGCAGCACCAGATCTTTTCCTCCCGAGGAGCTGCTGGGTGGGTTCGAACTGCCAGCCTCTCGGATAGCAGCTGAGTGCGTAACCGTTGTGCCACCAGGGCTCCTTGATACAAATAGAGCATTTGAGAATTCTTTGCAGTAAACTGGAAGTGTGCAAACTTTGCAAAGGTGTGCTTGACCAAGGTTTGCTGGGGTGAGAAAAATCCTTCAACAGATGCAGTCTTTGAGAAGCTTTTCTCAGCGTATTGGGTGGTTTGAATCTGTGTATACATGCTGTCAACATGTCCAGCAAGTCTCTGTAAGTCCTTGCAATGTTAGTACTTGGAGTTATTTTTCCCTTTTCTCGACGTTATTTCAGGGTGACTCGGGTCTGGTGTGTTCCCGTTATCTTCAGTATTGCAGAGCAGCCAACCTCTACCTTGATTTAAGAAATATCAAGAGAAATCATGACAGGTACTTAAGCGGTTGTTGTTAAAATCGAATAGAAATTCTGAAATATTTTCAGATCCAGGGATACATCTTAGATTTGCTTCAAAATAACATGGTGGTGTCAAAAACTTAGAAATAGAACTACCTTATGACCCAGCAATTCCACTCCTAGGTAAATACCCTAGGGATGAATGGATAAACAAAATGTGGTGCATGCACAGGATGGAATACTATGCAGCCATATAGAGAGATGAGTTCCCAAAACGTCTTGGAACGTGGATGAACCTAGAGGACATTATGCTGAGTGAAATAAGTCAATCACAAAAGGACAAATATCGTATGATCTCATTTTATAAAACGACAAGAACAGCTATATGTACAGAGACCAGCTTCACTGATGATTACCAGGGGTGGGAGGGAGAGGGGGATTCATTCTCTAGACAGCAGTCAGTTTTTATTTATGGTGATTTATGGTGATGGGAAAGGTAGCACCGAATGTGAGAGAAGTGTGCATAGCTTAACCAAGACAGATTATGCTACTAGGTGTACACACACACACACACACACACACACACACACACACACACACGCACACAGTGTTTTAGTAAATGCTATGTTATATATAATTTTGCAACAACCAAAATATGTGTGTGTGTACCACATTTTTACACAAATAATGTGCACTTTCTATGTTTGTTGGCCAACCGCACCCTCCCTCTGCAAGGTATTTTCATAAGTGCCACTATGCCAATTTTATTTACATGTTGCTATAAAAAAAATCAGCATAGTGCACTTATGAAAATACCTCGCAGGGAGAGGGTGCAGTTGGCAAGGAAATGCAGAAGGTGCTCGTTATTTGTGTAAAAATTTGGTATATGTGTATGTATGTATATTTATGAAATAAAACAAGTAAGGGTCATAAAATTGATACATCTTAGACTTAACCAGTCACCTCACAGGATTAGTTTTCTTGGTTTAAAGATTTTGGGTCATAGTCTTGCAGGACAGGTTAGTCAGTTAGCATAATATAGTTCATAAAGTTTGTGTTCTACACCCAAGTCTGGTGAGCAGCATCTGGGGTCTTAAAAGTTTGCAAGTGGCCTTCTAAGATGTAGCTATTGGTTTCTACATGTCTTAGGCTGTGTCTTAGTCATCTAGTGCAGCTACAACAGAAATACCACAAGTAGATGGTTTTTATGAAGAGAAGTTTATTTCCTCATAGTCATAGTAGGCTAAAAGTCCAAATTCAGGGCATCAGCTCCAGGGGAAGGCTTTTTCTCTCTGTTGGCCTTCTTCTCTACAGTGTTCCCCTGGACTAGGAGCGTCTCTTCACAGGGACCCCAGTCCAAAGGATGCGCTCTGCTCCCGGCACTGCTTTCTTGATGGTATGAGGTCTCCCTGTCTTACTGCTCACTTCTCTGTTTTATATCTCAAGAGATTGCCTCAGGACACAATCCAGTCTTGTAGATCCAGTCCAGCCTTAGTAACGCAACTGCCACCCATCTTCCCTCATTAACATCATAGAGGCAGGATTTACAACATATAGGAAAATCACACAGTACCAGGAATCATGGCCCAGCCAAACTGATACACACATTTTTATGGGGACATAATTCAAACCATGACGGGCTGGGATCTCTAGAGAAGCAAAACCAGTTAAGCATATAAATATCTATTTAAAGAGATTTATATCAAGGAAGTGGCTCACACGATTGTAGAGGCTGGAAAGTCCCAAATCTGTAGGTCAGGCTGGAGGCTTCTCCTGATTCACGGAGCTGCAGGGGCTGGCGGACCCAAGGTCAGCGTGTCAGACAGCAGGGCTCTTGCTCACAGGCTGCGAAGACCGACGAATCCCAAGGTCAGCAGGCAAGACCGCAGGTAAGCTGCTAGCTCAAGTCCCAAGAACCAGAAGTCAGACGAACAGGAGCCAGCTGCAGGATCCAGAGCAAGCAAAAGCCCACGAGTCTTGCCAGAGAGTTCACTTATATTTGCTGCAGACAACACCTCCAAGGAAACTCCCTTTCAGCTGATTGGCTACTCACAGCAGGTCCCATCATGGAGGTGATCATATTGTATCAACACTCATCATGGAAGTGATAATATCATCATACAACTGCCAAACTACATCATAACTGCCAAACCACTGAGGATCATGGCCCAGCCAAGTTGACACTCAACCTTAGCAAACACACTAGTCGTCTGGAGCAAAAAAGAAAGAAAAAAACCCAAAAGTCAGAGAAGAAACCAGTCTACAGGACTACTTGTCTACATGAGCCAGAGGCTCCTCTACCCTGAGACCAGAAGAACTAGATAGTGCCCGGCTACCACTACCATACCTTCTGATCAGGAACACAATAGGTGTATCCTGATAGAAAGGGAGAAAAATGTGGAACAGAACTTCAAATTTTCTGAAAATCAAGACTTACTGAACCCACTGAGACAGGAGGAATCGTTTAGATTATTACCCTGAGATATTCTCTAAGCCTTGAAACAGAACTATCCCTTCAAATCACCTTTTAGCTAAATAGCAAGTTAGCTCATAAAGTAATGAATATCACTCTTAAGTATTGTGCTTTTTTTTTTTTTTAAAATCTCTATGAGACCAAATGGTCAACAAATACTCTAAAGCATAGATGAGAAGGTTGGGGGACTGTTAATGGAAAGGGAACAACTAGAACAGAAATAATGAGAATGCTGATTCAATGTGAAGACTGTAACCAATATCACTGAACAATATATATAAAAATTTTTGAATGGGAACCTGTTTTGCTGTGTACACTTCCACTGAAAATACAATTAAATATTATTAAAAAAAAATAACATGGCGATGGGGTTGGGGAATGGGTGGGGTGGATGAGCCAGTTGGGCCATGAGTTGGTCATTATAAAGCTGGGTCATGAGTACATCAAGTTCCTATTCTACTACCTTTGTAAATGTTTGAAATTATTATAAAATGTTAAATCCTAACAAAAAAAAAAAACGGATTTTGGAGATTGGTGAGCCATATTAGTTACAATTCATATGCTTGAGTCATCAAAAATTTTTCTGAACTTAATTTCTTGTTACACACCAGATTTAAGGAAGATTTCTTCCAGAGTGGTGAAATTGGAGGACACTGTAAACTTGATACTCATACATTGATGTCTGAAGGTCAGCGCAAAAGCCCTCTGCAGTCTTGGTAAGATTTTATTTTTTTAATGTATGTTTCTGAAGTATTTGCCTTTATTTTTGGCACTCTCAAATTTTGATAGGGACTCTCAAATGGAAAATGTTTTACTTAATTTGTAGATAATTTGTCAGGAGCTTCTGGGGAATGAAGACTATAGCATGAATCTCTTAGTTATGTCTGAATTAAATTATGTTTATAAAATATTAGGAAGTAAGATATAGTACCATTTGCTAATGAAAGAAAAACAGATCAGTTCAAAATGAATTTTGTAACTCCTTGTAATTATTGCATGTGTTTGAGGAACACGTGATTTTTAATGCGCATTAATTGGAGTGTATTAACAGACATACAGAGAAGTATACAGTTTGGATAATGAAAAAGTGAACCCACCAATGGGTCAAAAAATGGACCATTGTCACCTAGGCCCCCTCCCAGTCACTGTTCCCACTCTTCTCCCCAAGGGTAGACACTGACTGTTAACACCATTGATCAGCTTTTTGAACTTTATATAAATTGGAGAACACATTCTGTTTTAAAAGATTTTCAATATTAAACAGGTTGTATGGTGTATCAGGGAATTTACCATCTCCAGAAATAAAAGCATTAGGGTACTTTTTTTAAAAAAAAAATAATTTTAGACTCACATCAAGCCAAAAAAAACCCATTGCCATTGAGTCAGTTCTGACTCATAGCAACCCTATACTCATTTAAAAAATGGTGTAGAAAGTTTCTGTCATGCCCTTTCCCCAGCTTCCCCATCTTACATAATCACAGTACAGTGATCAAAACCAGGAAATTGACGTTGGTTCAATACTGTTAACTAATTTGGATTTCACTGGTGTTTACGTGCAGTCATTTTTTTTTTTTTAATTATTAATAGTTCTGTGGAACTTTGATCACATGTCTAGATGCATGTAATCACCACTTCAATCAGGATACAGATTGTATCTCTTGTGCTACCTCTTGATAGTCACATAGGATACTCTTATATAATGCTAATTTTTGAGGTCTAGCATTCATGCTAAGCATACCGTTCAGGATAATCATCTACAAATGTAGTACCATACGTTTAGGATGGCACCTGACGGTGTGAAATGCAGTACCTCACTTGATTTAACCAACGTTTGCAGTAAGTCATTCCTGCATTCAAGTGGGCATTTTAATTTCAAGTACATTTTGGTATCTTGGTAAGTTTTTTTTTAAACATGTTTCTGAAGTGTTTGCCTTTATTTTTGGCACTCAAATTTTGGTGGGGACTCGCAAATGGAAAATGTTGTACTTAATTCATAGATAATTTGGCATGAGCTTCTGGGGAATGAAGGCTATAATTAGTTATATCTGAATTACATTATGTTTATAAAATACTAAGAACATAGTCATCCCTAGAGTATATCTGTATTAGTTACCTATTGCTACGTAATAAGTTGCTTCAAAATTTAGCAGCTTAAAACAACGTGCATTTATTATTTCATACGGTTTCTGGTGGTCAAGATGTGGGAGCAACTTAGCTGTGTGGTTCTGGCTCAGAGTCTTTTACAAGGTTGCAGTCAAGCTGTTGGCCAGGACTACAGCCCTGTCTAGGGTCCACTGGGCTGGAGAGTCTGCTTCTAAGCTCGTTTATGTTGTCGTAAGCCTCAGCTCCTCTCTGGCTGTTGACCAAAGGCTTCAGTTCTTCACTATGTGGGCCCCTCCCTAGTGCTGCTCACAGCATGGTGGCTGACTTCCCAAGAGTGAGTGGTCTAAGAGAGAGAGAGCATGCCCCAAGATGGAAGCTGCAGCCTTTTTATAACCTAATCTCAGCAGTGACATACCATCACTTCTCTTGTCTTCTGTTCTTTAGAAGCAAGTCACTAAGTCCAGCCGACATTCAAGGGGAAGGGAATGAAGTACTACCTCTTTTTTTTTTTTTTTAATTGTACTTTAGATGAAGGTTTACAAAGCAAACTAATTTCTCATTAAACAGTGTATTAACACATTGTTTTGTAACATTGGTTGCGAACCCCACGGCATGTCAACACCCTCCCCTTCTCGACCTTGGGTTTCCCATTACCAACTTTCCTGTCCCCTCCTGCCTTCTCGTCCTTGCCCCTGGGATGGTGTGCCCATTTAGTCTCGTTTTGTTTTATGGGCCTGTCTAATCTTTGGCTGAAGGGTGAACCTCAGGAGGGACTTCAGTACTGAGTTAAAAGGGGGTCGGGGGCTCTACTCTTGGGGTTTCTCCAGTCTCTGACAGACCAGTAAGTCTGGTCTTTTTTTTTTTTTTTTTTTAATTTTGTTCTGCGTTTTTCTCCAGCTCTGTCGGAACCCTCTATTGTGATCCCTGTCAGAGCAGTTGGTGGTGGCAGCCGAGCACCATCTAGTTGTGAAGCCCCACCTCTTGAAAAGAGAAGTATCAAAGAATTTGTGGACTTATTTTTAAAACCACCGTAATATTTCAGCATTGTGTTTTAAAAGGATATTTTTGGTATTTGCTTTGTATCAGATATGATCTCAAGGATGAAGAGTTACAGATGATCTTTATGTTAATTTTAAATATCTCTTGCCACATGCTGTTTTGGTTGTCTACTGATGCTATAACAGAAATATCACAAGTGGGTGGCTTTAACAAACAGAAATTTTTTTTTTTCTCACTGTTTAGGAGGCTGGCAGTCTGAATTTAGAGCACTGTCTCTAGGGGAAGGCTCTCTCTCTGCTCTGGGGGAAGGTCCTTGTCTCTTCAGCTTCTATTCTTTGGCTCCTTGGAAGTCTCATGTGGTATAACATCATCTGTCTTTCCCCATCTCTGCTTGCTGGCTCGCTAGCTCCATCTGCTCTTTTATATCTCAGAAGAGATTGATTTAAGATGCACTCCATAGTAATAGTGCCTCATTAACGTAACAAAGAAAACCCATTCACAAATGGGATTATAACCACAGGTATAAAGCATGAATAAACCAAACCCGTTGCCATCAAGTTGATTCTGACTTGTAGCGACCCTATAGGACAGAGTAAAACTACCTCATAGGGTTTCCGGGGAGCAGCTGGTGGATTTGAACTCCGGACCTTTTGGTTAGCAGCCAAGCTCTTAACTACTGTGCCACCAGGGCTCCAACCACAGGTGTATAGGTTAGAATTTAGAAGATGTATTTTGAGGGGACACAGTTCAATCTATAACACATGCTGTGTGATTGTTTTCTCTTATACGGAAGAAAATTGTGCCATGTGGCTTTCAAAGATGTTTTCTGAGAAGTAGACCTTCCTTTCTTCTGTGAAGCTTAACTGTCTGCTGTCTTTCTAAGGCGCTAGATAATTCTTGGACTACCATCTTTCTCAGAATCCAAGCAATCCACCATAGGAAGTTCTCTGGGTCTGTGTTCCTTCTGAGCCTTGTCAGACTAAAGGAAACCTTTTTGAGTCTTCCCACTTTACTAGTCGCTGTCAAGTCAACTTTGACTCATGGCAACTGTGTCTGTGTCAGAGTAGAACTGTGCTCCATAGGATTTTTAGTGGCTGATTTCTTGGAAGTAGATCACTAGGCCTTTCTTCTGAGGTGCTGGGTGAACTCGAACCTCCAACCTTTTGGTTAGCAGTTGAGTGCTTAACTGTTTGGGCAACCCAGGGACTTCGCACTTTACTGGTAGATTGGTTGGCTGACCCATTGTGCAAATTCTTTCTTTGTCTAGAAAGTTCCCAGCTTAACTATCTTGCACATTAGACTGAATTTCAAGTAATTTTTGTTCCTTGTCTCAATGTTGAAATTGGTATCAAGTTATATAAATGTCAGTAAGTTTGAGAAGTTACAGATGTCTCCATAGGAGTGTCTTGCATTCTAGAAATGAATCTGCCTAATGAGCAGATCCAAAGTTATGATGTTGCAACAGAAGTTTGGGAGAATCACTTTGAAAGTATATTTCATATTTCTAGGTTTGCTGAGCTACAAAGCTATACTCAGCTCAACTTCAGACCTATAGAAGATGCAAAATGTGATATTGTTGTTGACAAGCCAGCCTACTTCATGAAATTTGATGCAGGTGAGACATTAATGTGTCTGTTACTCCTTTACTGGTTAATGAGGCTTTTTGTGTGTGTGTGTGTGTGTGTGTGTGTGGAAAATATTTATGTAACAAAACATTTGACATTTCAACAATTTTCACATGTAAAGTTCAGTGACATTATGTTGTATTAATTGTATTCATCATGTTGTTCAACTTGTTCTTTCTTCAATGTATGTATGTAGTGATTTCCTGTCACTTTTTGGGAAACAGTATGACATTGTATAGTGGGTTTGTTTTTTTGTTTTCTTCTCTGAAGAAGTAGATGAACTAGTTTGAATTTCCCATTATTTTACCCCTTGGGTATCAGAACAAATCTTCACATTTACATAAAGTGACTTCATCAAAATCAAAAGGTGAGAGAAGAAGGCATATGTCCACCTTTTGTAATTGAATTTACTCCATCTGGTTTCTCAAATTACTTGATTTAGATTGTGCTTCATTAGGAAACTTTTTAAAAATTAAAAGCCATGTATATACTGTGGATACAAAAGGAATGTCCATGATCTCTCTGACAAACTTATTTTGTTTCTATGACATTAAGTGAACTGAAAATTTTCCTGGAAGTTAGCACTGCTGTGTATTCTTGGGGGAGAAAAAGGTTTTAACAAAAAAAAAATTATTTTTCTGTTTATGTCTATGGCTTCTAACTCTCACCTTGCAGGCCTAGCTGTAACTTTGTGAACTAGTTACCCTGGAGAAGAGAAACACAGATCATACTACATGATTTCTCTCATTATGAGAGACAGAGGTTACTATGCTACTCTGTCTCAAAATTAATGAGAGGCTGGGCTTACAGTGAAAGATAGAGGGCTCTCTGTCACAGATATTTCAGAATTGCTATAATTTATTGATCATATTTTTAATGTGCCTTGCCTTCTGAAGTCATAATTCTTATATTACAAAGTATTAAGTTCAGAAATCAGACAACTTTAGGTTTTTGAAATAAGAACAAGTAAAAATGCCATGTTCGAGGTCCTAATTTTTTAAATATGCAAATTAAAAAGGGGCAAAGAAAACGTGGTGAGCTGCCTGTAAAAGAGTTGAATATGTGTGAGCTGTTAAATTTATGCAGGTACTTATGCCATAAAGTATGCAAAGTAGGAATAAAAGGCTAATGTGGACGTGTGCCGTTTCTTTCCGATATTCATAACTCTTATTTTTTTTCTTCTAACTTACGCTGTCGTTCCGTTTTCCTTTTCATATATTAACTCTTACCTTGGGAGAATGAGCATTGTACAGAACAAGACTCATTTCTTAAGGGCAAAGCCCCTGTTTTCTCCCTCGTTTATAAATCCCTGTAGCACGAAGTGCTGTTCTGTATGTGCTGTGTGCCTCAGTAAATGTTATGGAGTCACTGAATGCTAGGTCGCAAAGCTAATGTGTACCGTGTGGCTGATCTGGGAAAAGGGCGTGTGTTGTAATAGAGCTTTCATTTTTCTTGCTTATTTGAAAATATACCCTTTGCCAACATTTTTCTGGGTGCAAGAAGGAGCCCATGCAAACATCCATCTAAGACACCAGTCTAAAGAGAGCTGAATATTTTTTACTCTTATTTTCTGGCATACAGTGTTATTCACTGTGGGATGATGTGAGATTATTTTATGATTTCTGCTTTTGAGGGTCACCGTTTTTCTTTTTGTCAACGTTTTCCCTCTTTTAAAATATAGATTTTAAATATCAATTCTCAGAATTTCATCCCATTTTTATCAGTTTTCGTGGGGTTGTTTCTGACTCGTGGTGACCGCACGTGTGTCACAGTAGAACGGTGCTCTGTAGGGTTTTCAGTGGCTGATTTTTCAGAAGTAGATTGCCAGGCCTTTCTTCCTAGGAGCCTCTGGGTGGACTTGAACCACCAACCTTTGGGTAGCAGCTGAGCACGTTAACCATTTGCACCATACAAGGACTCCTCCTCCATTTAAATCTGTACATTTCCAAGTTGAATACCAGGTGACTCATCCCTAAGTTGAGAGAAAGCATGTTATTTCCTTTTTTTTTTCTAAATTTTTTGTTGTGCTTTAGGTGAAAGTTTACAGAGCAAATTAGTTTCCCATTCGATAGTTTGCACGTAAAATAGTCCATGACATTGGTTGCATCCCCCACAATGTGTCAGCACTCTCCCCATTTCCGCCCTGGGTTCCCTGTTTCCTTTCGTCCATATTTTCTACCCCTTCTTGCCTTCTCATCTTTGCTTTTGGGCGAATGGTGTCCTTTGATCTCGTATACTTGATTGTTCTAAGGCATACGCCAGGTGTCCTGCAAGGTGTTTGGATATGTCTAAGAAGTTTGCATGACTGTGCCCCTTGTGTGCGCTATTGTCTGTATTAATATACATGCAGCACCTACAATTATGTATGTAGAAATATCCACGACCAAACCTATGTCTGCTAGTAGGTGTGCTCCCTTACACCCTCCCACACCTCTTTAGGATACCTATCTATCTGTGTATCCATTCGTAAATTATTGTTTACTAATACTATTATTGCAGGATTGTCTGTTTTATAATAATTACTGTAGTTGCCCTTTATTCTTGCGTTCCTCTCAGTGTCTTTCTTTGCCTTGGTCATGTTGTGCTGACTTGCCCCATATTGTGTATTGCCTTTCCTTTTACCAGTATTAACACTGTCTTCTATCTCATTAGAGATACCCTCCCATCCCAGGTAACCATCAAATAATTTTTTTCTATGTGTGTAAACCTTTTCTTGTATTTTTATAAGAGTGGTCTCATAGAATATTTGTCCTTTTGTGATTGACTTACTTCACTTACCATAATGTCCTCCAGATTCATCCATGTTGTGAGATGTTTCACAGATTCATCATTATTCTTTATCATTGCATAGTATTCCGTTGCATGTATGTACCACAGTTTGTTTATCCGTTCATCCATTGATGGGCGCTTAGATTGTTTCCATGTTTTTGCTATTGTGAATAATGCTGCAGTGAACATGGGAGTGCATATGTCTATTCATGTCACAGCTCTTATTTCTTTAGGGTATATACCTAGGAGTGGGATTGCTGGATCCTATGGTATTTCTATTTCTAGCCTTTTAAGGAAGCACCATACCGTTTTCCATAGTGGTTGTACCATTTTACATTCCCACCAGCAGTACGTAAGAGTTCCAGTCTCCCCACAACCTTGTCGACATTTGTTATTTTCTGTTTTTTTGATGTTCTGTTGCTTTTAGAAGACAGGCTTATGAACAAAGAGCATCAACTGCAGTCTTCTCTAGTCTCTTGGACCTTGGAGATCCAGCTGGTCTTCATTAAGGGCCAGGCACTGGGATGGGTTCTTTTAGACACATTATCTCTGGATTTCTCATGGCAAAGCTGGCTGACACTTAGGTGTAACCATTTTCTATTTCTAGTAGAGAATCTAAGCTTAGGGACTTTGTAAACTTGTCTGAGAATGTTGTTCATGAGTGGCAGAGCTGGAGTTCAACCTAGTTCTTCTGACTCTAGAGTCCATATGCTTTTAAGTTAGAACTTGAGACACTCAGCTCTTTTAAATGATGGTTGGTTAACATTTTCCCAAGAAGCCATGCTATAAGTAGTGATTAAATACGGAAAAAAAGAGACAGGAATGAAAAATACAAGATGTTAATAGTTGCCATGATTGTCTTTTACTTAAAAAAATACTTCTACAATAAACAGATGTTGCTTTATTGATTTAAAAAAAATAACTCATGGTAAAAAATAATAGTCTTCATGGCCTTGTAGTTTCACCCCATTTTCAGTTAAATAGACTGATTTTACTTTGCTGGGAAGTTAATGATCATTTGCTACTTCGTTTGTATGGGAAAATTCATTCCTAATTTCTAAATAAATTTTCAAGTGAATATTTGAACCCAACCAGTCTGTAAACTGAGGACCAGCTATGCAGAGATCATTTTGTATTTGGAAAAACTCTTATTCTTTCCCCATTTATTTCAACCAGAAGTCTACCAAGCTATAAATAGTGTTGGCAAAAATTGTTTGTTTGTTCTTTGGAGTTAACATAGATTTCTTTTTTCCAACTAGGTGTTAACATGTATCACCACTTCTGTGATTTTCTGAATCTTTACATTACTCAGCATGTTAATAACTCGTTCAGCACAGACGTGTACATCGTGATGTGGGACACGGTAAGTAAGAATGTGCTCTCTGCTTCTACCCTGTCTACATTGCTCTATAAATGTGTGGGCTCTAATGTGGTGGAATGGAAATTTCTAAGACACACATTTAAATACACACACGCATGCATACATATGTAGATGGGTGTGAATGGATGTATATGTGCATTTACATGTACACACATGTATGCAGGTGCATACGTATGTGTGTACCTTTGTTCTTTGAATTTTAGAATGAGACAGTGGGAGATTTCTTTCCCTCTTTGGACAGGTAGAGCTCCAGAGACCACAGAGCTGAGCTCGGTGTTCCTCTAAGGCAGATGCACGCAGACTGCTGTGCACTTAACCTCTATGACCTGTGTTTGAAGAGCTTGCCTCTACAGTTTGGCCTTTTGCATGACCTGGTCTGCCTTTCCTTAATAGCAGCTTTCCTGTTGCTCCTTCTTCATGCCAAATTGTGCTGTGTGTTTCTGCTGACTATACAGGGCGAGTCTTAAGTATGTACATAGAGGTTGAATTATGCGAGTGGCACAGTTTGCGCTCAACTCCTAACCTAAAGTTTGGCAGTTTGAACCCACCCGACAGTGCCATGGAAGAAAGACCTGGTAATCAGCTTCCATAAAGATTACATCCAAGAAAACCCTATGGAATAGTTCTGCTCTGTAACACATGGGGTCACCATGAGTCGGAATCGACTCGAAGACAATGGGTTTTTTTTTTGTCTTATTGCTTATTTTTTTTAGTGCATCTTTGGTCCTTGTCCTTCTCCCTCCACTTCTCCTCCTCATAGTCCTCCGCCCTCCCCCCCAGTTCCTTCTTTCCCTCCTCCTTCTTCGTTCACTGTCTTTTCCCTGTTTCTTCCCATATCCTGCCCCTCCATGCCCCAAGGTAACCCCAAGGTGTGCCCCAGTATCCTCATCTGTGAAATGGGAGAATTATAGTATCTTCAATGTCATTGTGAGGATTAATTGTGTCATGTGTGAACAGTCACAATGCCTGGCACACAGCAGGTACACTCTCAATAATGTTAACTATGACAAGGATAACGATTAGGAGAACAAGGGGTTTCTAGTGTACTCTAGAGAGGTTGCCTCAGCATTGGGAAGTTGGACAGTTCACCAAGGGGTCATCTAAGGTTTAATGAGACATTCTGACTCACACAAGCCATTTAGAGGCCCCGCCTTGGCGTGAGTCTTCAGAACGATATTGCAGGGGAACCACAGCTTGGCAGCAGGACAGCGTTGGGCATATCTTCTAGGGAGAGGCTTTCCAGCAGCCCACCCAGCACAGCTCAGCTCAGATGCAGGGAGATGGGGTCCACTTGGGCAGGTATAGGAGCTTCCTTGACTTAGAGCCTCATGTCCCACGGGGGCCAGTACCTCCTGGAACAGCTGCTTTGGCAGAGGTCCCAGGATCCTTGCAAGAGACACGCCTAGTAAGTAACAGGGGTCATTGCACTTGGTGAAACCCACACATGGCGCCTCGCACTGCAGATGTAACTTACTTATCAAATGTCCTTAAATCCTAAGCGATGTCGCCTTGATACATGCCGTCTTTATTTCCAGAGACCAGAGTGAGATGGTTAAGCGAAGGTCCCATTCTCATGCAGCAGTGGTTTTGTTAATGCTTTTTTTCACAGGTCTGGGCCTCATAAGAGGGCTCTGCAGAAAAGTTTTTCATTATCGTTGCTCCAGAGACCTTTAGCTTGATTTCAAGTCTGATGAGAATGGCTTCTATAATTCTTGGCATATTAATGCTTTCATTTGACTTCCTCCTTTATGTGTGTTTACGTTTCCCTCTTGCATTCCGGTTTTGCTGACATGGTTTGATTTCTTGGAAACTTCTCTGTGAGCAAAGGAAAAACACTCCTTTTTTGTGTAAGCTCTTCTAGTTCACAACTACCAGCTCTCAGAAGCCCTGAATGATTAATTCAGGGGTGTTTTGCCTTTTTTTTTTTTTTTTCAGTCATACCTGATGTTATCTCATTTCATGCTCGCAAACTTCCGTGGACTAACACTCGTATCTGCTTATTGTACAGCCGAGGAAGCAGAGGCTCTGAGCAGCAGGCGAGTGTTCTAAGTTAACACAGTCTGCGAGGGGTGGAGTCTGGATAGTCTGAACATAGATCTGTGCTCTGAAATCACAGGGCTTTATTGCCTCTCTATAAATCTCTGTCTGGAGCCCAGGTGGCACAGTGGTTAAGAGCTTCAGCTGCTGACCAAAAGGTTGGCAGTTCGAATCCACTAGCCACTCCTTGGCAGTTCTACTCCATCCTATAGGGTCGCTATGAGTCGGAATTGATGGCAATGGATTATGAACTTCTGTGGAGTCCCTGGGTGGGCAAATGGTTTCCATGCTCAGCTGCTAGCCGAAATGTTGGAGGTTTGAGTCCACCCAGTGGCACCTCGGAAGAAAGACCTGGTGATCTACTTCCGAAAAATCAGGCATTGAAAACCCTATGGAGCACATCTCTACTCTCACACCACCCGAGGGGTCACCATGACTCGGAGTTGACTCGACTGCAACTGGAGTTGCTCTTTGCTTCATGCCAAATTGTGTGTGTGTTTCAGCTCACTAGAAGGGTGAGTTTTCAGTATGGACATAAATGCACGTGTTGAATTACATGGGTGGTGCAAATGGTTTGTGCTTGGCTGCTAACCTAAAGGTGGGCAGTTCGAACTTATCCAGTGGCACCACAGAAGAAAGTCATGGCAATCTGTTTCTGTAAAAACGTCTGCAGAACATATCAAGTCGATGGAAGGTTTTTCCGACAGCGCGAAGCTTCTCTGTACCTTGTTGCATGCGTTTCCATGTCTTCCTCAAGTGGACTTTGTGAAACTGAGCCCACTTCTACAACCCTGCCCCTCTCTGTGCCTGGTGGGATGGAGGAAGTAGCATGCCATGGCCCCGACGAGGATTCTGGTTCACTCAGTTAACTGGGCTTGTGATGTTAGGGCAGGCTGACTGTGACCCGGGCCTTCCGCTGACGGGCAGGCAGACTTAGCCAAGCAGGTTGGTGTGCTGATGTTACCTCTCTCTTCTACTACTCTCTATGCATCCTTTTTAAACTTGCATTCTGGGTCAAGGACGACTTTAGGAAGTACTCAGATTCTCAGCACAGGCAGCTGTGCCCGATGGCTCCACAGTTTAGGCCCAGAGAATGTTACGGGTTGGACAGGCTTCGTGTGATGGTGTTGTGTGGCTGTGATCATTTCCCTTTTGGTGGGAAGGCCTTGGATTAAACTACACTGTGCGCCCCTCCTCCCCACACACACACCTGACCGCGATGCAGAGCCAGTCCTGAAGGTTCAGAGGAGCGATCTGCCCCGTGGGGAGAGCAGGGAGGTGGTAGTGGCAGCCTTTCAGACTTGGTGAAGCAAAACCCTGTGGCATTTTTCAAACTGCTTCCCCCAAGAAACCTATGGGACCTTCCCACTCCATCTTGCAAACTCAGCAGTTTGGCCAGTCCTGTGAGACATGGAGCTGCCTTGGTGGGGTGGGCCAGGCCACCAACCTGCGCAGATGCACAGAGGGCACCTCCACAGGTGCACTTCTGGGTGCAGCGGGGTGGCCTTGTGAAGCAATTTCGCTAGAAGGGGAGATTAGTATAGGCTCTCCACATTTTCTTGTGCAGAGTTGTATAGCTTTATTATTATTTTTTAATTAAGCAAGTAATACCTGTTGCTGCCAAGTTGATTCTGACTCATGGTGACCCTGTGTGTTACAGAGTGTAACTGCTCCATAGGGTTTTCTTGGCTATTATCTGCCCCCACCCTGATGATATTTAGTTCATTTCTCATCTCTTCCTGTTTATTAAAATGCTGCATGAACATCCTTTCCATATACATATATCTTTACACGCTCACCTATCCTCACACTTCTGTGGAACAGATTCCCGTAAGTGGAATTTCGAAGTCACAGGTTATGTGCCTGTCTAAATTTGAGAGATACCAAGGAGGAAATTTTATGTCATCTTTAAGAATATGCAAATATTCTTAGACTTGAGACCAGGAAGAAAATCCTCCTTCCCCCACGACAGATCATTTGACTTTGGGGGACATGGAAAAGAATCCTCTAGAGGTGGTTATTAGTGAATAATGCATGGTTTCCCTGAGAAGGGATCAGTCAGTATTACTATATTTTATTATTAAATTTTCCTTTTAAAGGTATCTTATTTTATCTGAAGTATTTTATCTCAAGAAAATGTCTAGAATCATTTCTTTTCATTGCCCTTTATTTATTATTGAGCAGAGGAGGAAAGTTTCATTTTGGATGGTGTTGAGAAGCACCTTTATTAGAATGGCATTGGAGATGCTTCTGGGGAACGATTTTTTTTTTTCCATCACATCTAACAGTTCTCAGTAACTTTGAAATATTTCTAATACGTACAATATGCAATTTTCAAAATCTGATAAAAAGAATGCTGTAAAAATGAAAAGGCACGAACGTAATGAACATAATGTATACCCAACTGTGTACACCTTGAATATAATCCTACAATGTGTATTTTTTACTTCAACTGGCTGAATTTTTCAATCTAAATTATACTATTTGAAAATGAATTTATCTCCTCCCTTTAGCTGAAGGAACTGAAAATTATGTTCTACTTTTCAATAAGGAAATGCATTTTGTAAGTGTGCTAGAAAGAATTAGTTCCTACTGAGAGACACCTGTTGTGTAGAGGTTATAGCCCTGAGTCTGGGACCAAACAGACTGGATTTAATCCCAGCCCTGCAACTCACCAGCTCTATAATTTAGGCAAATTACTTAAAATTCGTATCTCAGTTTTCTCATCTGTAAAATGGGATGTGATATTACCCACCTCATTAGGGTTGTGGGATGGTTTAATGAGTTAATAATGTCAAGTGTTTAGAACAGTGCCTGGGACGTTAGAAATAACAAAATGTTGTTATTATGATTATTGTTACTATTATTGTTAATGTAATAGGTAATTATCACATATGTTACTCAGTAGTAGTCAATCGGGAAATTATTTCATAAAGTTCATGCATTTTATTTTGAATGTTAAACATTTGAAGTCATTTTCTTGCTCTGAATTCCTTTCCAAAAGTAATTTCCACTTACTGGGATGCTTTTTATTTACTTAGCATACAAGAGTGTATATAAATGGTGATGTATGTGTGCGTTGTGTGAATCTGTGATTGGATAGAATCATAGTAAAAATGATAAGAAGTGTTTTTTTTTTTTAATTGTATTTTAGATGAGAGTTTACAGAGCACATTAGTTTCTCATTAAATAATTAATACACAGATTGTTTTGTGACATTGGTTGCCAACCCCACAACATGTTAACACCCTCCCCTTCTCGACTTTGGGTTCCCTGTTATTAGCTTTCCTGTCCCCTCCTGCCTTCTAGTCCTTGCCCCTGGGCTGGTGTGCCCATTTAGTCTTGTTTTGTTTTATGGGCCTGTCTAATCTTTGGCTGAAGGGTGAACCTCAGGAGTGACTTCAGTACTGAGTTAAAAGGGAGTCCGGGGGCCATTCTTTCGAGGTTTCTCCAGTCTCCTGTCAGACCAGTAAGTCTGGTCTGGGTTTTTTTTTTTTTTTTTTTTGTGAGTTTGAGTTTTGTTCTACATTTTTCTCCAGCTCTGTCTGGGACCTCTGTTGTGATCCCTGTCAGAGCAGTTGGTGGGTAGCCAGTTAACCATCTAGTTCTTCTGGGCTCAAGGTGGTAGAGGGTGTGGTATTTGTGGTCCATTAGTCCTTTGGACTAATTTTTTCCTTGTGTCTTTGGTTTTCTTCATTCTCTCTTGCTCCAGATCAGTTGAGACCAGTGGAGTATCTTAGATGGCCACTCATAAGCTTTTAAGTCCCCAGATACTACTCACCAAAGTAGGATGTACCACATTTTCTTTATAAACTATGCTATGCCAATTGGTCTAGATGTTCCCTGAGACCATGGTCCCCATCCCTCGGCCCAGTAATTCGGTCCCTCAGGGAGTTTGGATAGTTCTACTCTGCCCTTTAGGGTTGCTCTGTGTCGGAATTGACCTGACAGCAGTGGGTTTTTTGGGTTATAGAGCTTCAATGACCTTGTCTTGGACAAGTTGTGCTGGCTTCCCCAGTATTGTGTACTGTCTTACCCCTCACTGTAGTTAACCACTTACCTATTGTCTGCTTAGTGTTTTTCCCTCCCTACCCCTCCCCTCTCTTGTAACCATGAAAGATTGTTTTTTTTGGTGTGTGTAAACCTTTTCATGAGTTTTTATAATAGTGGTCTCATACCATTTTTGTGCTTTTGTGATTGACTTATTTCATTCAGCATAATGCCCTCCAGATTCATCCATGTTGTGTGATGTTTTGCAGATTCATCATTGTTCTTTATTGTTGCGTAACATTCCATTGTGTGTATGTACCATAGTTTGTTTATCCATTCATCTGTTGATGGGCACTTAGGTTGTTTCCATCTTTTTGCTATTGTGAATAATGCTGCAATGAACATAAGTGTGCATATGTCTATTCGTGAGATGGATCTTATTTCTCTAGGATATATTCCTAGGAGAAGTGCCTTCTAAAACATGAGAATAAAATGGATTAGGGTGGAAAAACAAAACACTTTCACTGGGTTGAACTTGTAATTCTCCAACACATGGAAAGTTACAGTGAAGGTATTGGGGAAAAACAAGGCTCCAGGTATTGACAGAATACCAATTAAGTTATTTCAGCAAACGGATGCAACACTGCAAGCAATAACTCATCTATGCCAAGAAATTTGGAAGACAGTACCTAGCCAACCGAGTGGAAGAGATCCATATTTATGCCCATTCCGAAGAACGGAGATCCAATGAAATGCTGAAATTATTGAACAATATCATTAATATCACACACAAGTAAAATTATGCTGAAGATAATTCAAAACTGGTTGCAGCAGCACATCAACAGGGAAGTGCCAGAAATTCAAGCCAGATTCCGAAGAGGATGTGGAACTAGGGATATCATTGCTGATGTCAGATGGATCTTGGCTGAAAGCATAGAATACCAGAAAGATGCTTACCTGTGTTTTATTGACTATGCAAAGGCATTTGACTCTCGATCGTAACAGATTATGAATAACATTGCAAAGAATGGGAATTCCAGAACACTTAATTGTGCTCGTGTGGAGCCTATACATAGAACAAGAGGTAGTCATTCGAACAGAATAAGGGATATTGCGTGGTTTAAAATCAGGAAAGGTGTGCATCAGGGTTGTATCCTTTCACCATAGTTATTCAGTCTGTATGATGAGCAAATAATCCGAGAAACTGGACTCTATGAAGAAGAACGCACCATCAGGATTGGAGAAAGACTCATTAACAACCTGTAATATGCGGATGACACAATCTTGCTTACAGAAAGTGAAGAGGACTTGAAGCACTTACTGGTGAAGAACAAAGACTACAACCTTCAGTATGGATTGTACCTCAACATAAAGAAAACAGAAATCCTCACAACTGGACCAGTGAGCCAACATCATGATAAACGGAGAAAATACTGAAGTTGTCAAAGATTTCATTTTTCTTGGATCCGCAATCAACACCCAGGGAAGCGCCAGTTAAGAAATCAAACGATGTATTGCACTGGGCGAATCTGCTGCTGAAAACCTCTTTAAAGTGTTAAAAAGCAAAGATGTCACCTTGAGGACTAAGGAGCGCCTGACCCAAGCCGTGGTGTTTCCACTTGCCTCATATGCATGGGAAGGCTGGACGATGAGTAAGGAAGACTGAAGAATTGATGCCTTTGAATTAAGGTGGTGAAGAATATTGAATATACCATGGACTGCCAGAAGAACAAACAAATTTATCTTGGAAGAAGTACAGCCAGAATGCTCCTTAGAAGAGGGGATGGTGAGACCTCATCTCACATACTTTGGACATTTTATCAGGAGGGACCAGTCCCGGGAGAAGGACATCATGCTTGGTAAAGTAGAGGGTCAACGAAAAAGGGGAAGACCCTCAAGGAGGTGGATTTATACAGTGACTGCAACAATGGGCTCAAACACAGCAAAGATTGTGAGGGTGGCACAGGACTGGGCAGCGTTTCGTTCTGTCGTACCGACTCAACAGCATCTAACAACATAACCGTTATGACAAGCTTATAATTGTAATGATTATTTCTGATGATATTTTATCAGATTAGGCACTTGCTCAGGCCCAAGATGATGTCCATGTTGGAAAAACATTTTTCCTATGTGAGTTTTATGAGCTTGTTTAGGATGATTGATTCTTAACACTGACAAGCTATTTCAGGCATTGTGTTGCATCTTTGAAAAAGCCATGTTATCTCCTTTTATTGCCCTAATTTTCTATTTTGTTTCCATCTGCAGAGCTCTTATGGATATGGTGACCTGTTTGCCGACACATGGAAAGCATTTACTGATTATGATGTTATACATTTGAAAACCTATGATTCCAAAAGGGTACTGCAGACTTTACTGAACTGTCCATAAATACTGTCATGAGCAGATGACTCACTCATAAATATTTAATAGAAGTATGTGTTAGCCATTATTATAACCAGAATCCTCATTGTTATTAACCATGTAGCTTTTAAAAACTCTTTTCCGTAGCTGCTCCAAAAATATGAATTTTATTCCCCTTGAGTGAAATGGTTTGCTATTCAAAATATTTTAATGCAAAATAGAGATTAATTAAAGTTCGTTTTCTGTAATTGTAAGTGCTGTTTTGGTGTGAAGGGTGCAAATTGTGTTCTCTGATCTTATGAAATGTCTTCATTCTTAGGTGTGTTTTAGAGAAGCTGTCTTTTCATTACTTCCCCGCATGAGGTACGGGCTGTTCTATAATACCCCTCTGGTAAGCGTTTTGTCTTCTGTTACCATTCATATTTATACAATGTATTCTTGACAGATTTTCAGATAATATTTACCCGTAACTAGAGAACTTCTTAAATAGCAGTGCAATTCATTGTAATATGACCTGTCGCTTCTATTCTAGATTTCGGGCTGTCAAAGTACTGGATTATTTAGGGCATTTTCCCAGCATGTGTTACACAGACTGAACATCACACAGGAGGGACCCAAGGTAATGGATACACTGTGGGTTCTGAGTGGAGCTTGACTTTTCACCTCCAGTAAAAATCAGTAACACCTTTGCAGAAAAAGAAACCAACAGAGGACATTGTTTCTTGTGTTAATGTTTTCTTACCTGGAGTGGTCTGGAATCAGGTATCAACAACCCACGAAAGATAAGCTAAAGGATATTGGAAGACTTTGCTTTTTTCTCCTTTTCCTTTCCCCTTTCTCTTGTCGTGTATCCCCATCCTCCCTGAAATCACCACCTGCCCAAAAATTCACCAGTCCAACCAAGCCAACAGAAACAGTCTAATGAAGAGGTTTTGTCTTCTGTGGCTAAAGCGGATGCACTTTTACTTCCTGAGAGAACCATGAAGGACTCAGGCTGTAAAATAGCAGTTCCATCTCTTTGTGAAAATCGCATTTTAGGCTCTGATGCTCATCCCTCTGTCCAGGCATATACAGCATTATTGTGCCTTTCTCTTTGGATTACAGGATGGAAAAATGCGAGTCACCGTTCTTGCCCGGAGCACAGAATACCGGAAAATACTAAACCAAAATGAGGTTAGTTTTGAGTATGCACTTTTGTCGCAGCGGCGACGGTTGTCGGGGTGGCAGAGACAATAACCAATGCCACAACTCTTACAGAGAAGTGGGGCCAGGAGGGTCACTCTGAGGAGTTGAACCCAGCTTCAGTCCCAGGAGTTTATTTTATAGTCAGTACAGCAAGCGGTGAAGCAAATAACAGAACAGTGGGCTTTGGGTGAATAACAATAAGTTTCGGGCAAGGGAGGAGGAATTCAGGTAAA